TTCCGTAACGGTAAGGTTGTTAATGGAGCACTCCAGATCATATTAAAACATATAACCCACTCCGGAGTGGGTTATATGTTTTAATATGATCTGGAGTGCTCCATTAACAACCTTACCGTTACGGAAAAGTGGCAAACAAAAGTTTTATTGTTATATATAGCTTGCTAAGAACCAATCAAGGTAAAACAACTTCTGTTGTGTAAATTAAATTAAATTAAATTAAATTCAGAATATGAGTTTTGCTCATTTATTATTATTTGTCAGGTTTTCTATGACTAATACTGTAAATCTAAATAATGTATTGTTATTAAATGACGTAGTGCGCGCGGATGAAAAAGTAATAGAGATGTGGCTGGTTATACTATTGTTGGGAGAAAAATCTTCTCGATAGTAAATAGTAATTGAATAAATATATATAATATAGTGTATAATAATATAGTTTAGAATATGTGGTCGTTGTCGTTTGAATGAATACTTTTTTCTCTGCGTGTTTGAATGAATGCATGTTGGCTAAAGATGATTTTACATGTACAATAACTAAAATCATCCGGAAATTTGAGGTGCCGAATTATTATTCTACGTGCTCTAATACCGTACGTCAGGAACTCGGAAAAATCACGATTTGATTTAATAAAATTCCTTTTGGTTTGCTTGAAAATTGTAAATGCACGAAGAGATTCTTGTTTATTTTCATCTGTGTTATAAGCGCTAAAACTACATTACACTACAGGACGAAATTAGAAACCTAATATATTTTATCACTATTTGTTAATATTGCTGAAAATTCCCCATTGTATGTCAGAATGAATTCTTTTATGCATATTATTTCTATACATAGTAATAATATGTCAGAATGAATTCTTCTATGCATATTATTACTATACATAGTAATTCTTCTATGCATATTATTTCTATACATAGTAATAGTGCAGACTTCTCTTAAATGCACGTTCTGGCCAGTCCCAAACTATAGAACCTTATATTTGAACTTATTCTCTAAATGCACACGCTATAAATGCACGCTTGTAATCAATTTGCCAAGAATAGTTCTTATCAGTATTGACAATATATTTTTTACTGTTACGTATAATTTCGTAAGCAAATATTCAGAGCCTAAAAATGCGAAAATAATAAATTTTGGTATAACGATAATAAATAATAATAAACTTATAATATGTGATTATTAGCAAAAGAAGACTACAAGTGATCGAGGTCACTTGGCAGGTCACTGATAAGGTTTGTTTGATAAAAGCCATCGTGAATCTTGAGATCATTAGTATTCTAGGTTCATAATTTAAAAACGGGATTTCTCTAAAAATGGCTTTAAACACGTTGCTATTGATTTATTATTTATATTCATTACATCAAAATTTTTTTTAATTTCGACAAAAATAATCCACCGCACATATATTGTAGTGACGAATATGATCGGATCTTTCTACATATATTTAAAGAGTGCTTTTCCAAAAATCTAAAATTATATTTTTAGCTTGACAACGCAATTATAAAGAGGTAACTGTGTAGTTGCGGAAATTTCTCCTTTTCAATAATTGAAACTTCAATTAATCAACAGCAGCAACAGTCACATTCTAATGGAGCAAATTATATATGGAATTAATAATATTTTTACCAGTCATCAACAGCTGCAACAGCCTATGGAGCAAATCATATATGGAATTGATGACATTTTCACCAACCATCAGCAACAGCAACATCCGCCACTGCCTCAACAACAGCAACATCCGCCACTGTCTCAACAACAGCAACATCCGCAACAACCTCAACAACTGCAACATCCGCAACGGCCTCAACAGCCTCAACAGCTACAACAGTCCCAGCCACATTCTAATACGGAGCAAATTATATATGGAATTGATGATATTTTCACCATCCATCAACGTCAACAACTACAACAGCCACATTCTAATATGGAGCAAATAATATATGGAATGAATGATATTTTCACCAGCCATTAAACTCAGCCACAACAGTCACATTTAATTATGTCATATTTTCACCCAATTTAAACTTTAAATAATACTCGTTGGAAACCTTATTTTTTTTTAAATTATCTGTTCTTGTTCTGTTCCTTTCGATTCGTTTCATAAACATATTCCGTCATATCCCGTCGTACCATGCTTGCTAGACGATTTATATAGTCTTTTTTAAACTTCGCATTTATGCTTAATCTCGTCACTATTTTATAATCAAAAATTCACAAACGAACAATCCGACTTTATTATAATATCCCTGTGTTTATTACTATTGCACTTTATAATAATAAAATTATATTGACCAATCAGAGATCTCAATTTTTCTGGAAAATTTATTACACACAATGCTCGTGGCAAAATTCAACTATTTAATATTTCTTTAGCGACGAATTGTGTGGAAAATTCAATTTTCTCAGCGTTCTCTGAGAACACAAAAATTCTTATATGAGGACATAAATCTACTATATATACGGATGTTCTTATGAGCAGTGTTGTCAATGGAAACACTCGGAAGTTCATTGGAAGACCATTGGAAGGCCATTGGAAGCAAAATTAATATCAAATTGAACTTTCCAATGGCCTTCCAATTGCTATAAAAGCCCCTGGAAGCAAAAATTGACAACACTGCTTTTTATTTATTGATGTTCGTTGAAGATCAGTTGGTTGGTTGTGCATAAATTATAACATTATTACATTTGGATTTTCTATCTTGTTTACCACACACATATTCTATAAATTTCAAGATGGCTCATTTACAACCACTCGAGCCTACATTGGCCCAACTCTATATTTACCCGATGAAAAAAACCTGATACGAGAAAAAAATCGTTTAGAGAACTCGATCTTTCATTTGAATCGATCAAACCGAGAAATGGCTCTG